GGCGGGGGAGCGGGGGGGGGCGTTGCCATGACGACCGTGGCTGCCGCCGCAGCGGGATGGTGCGGGCGGCCTGTTCCGGTGCACCGGGCCCGGCGGCGCCCCCCCGGCGGGACCCCTCCCGCAGCCGGCACAAGCGGCGGCCCCGCAGCCCCGCGGTGGACGAGACGCTGTTCGGGGAGAGCCGGGTAAGGGCCCGCGACACCGCGGGCACCGCCGGGCCCCGGGCAGAGCTACGGGGGGAGGGTGGGGGGGAACCGGGACCTCACCGGGCCTGAGCCAGCCCCGTCGCACCGGGGCTCCGTCGTGCCTTGTCGGGGCCTTGTCCAGTGCTCCCGGTGCCGCCACCCCTCGCACCTCCTCTGCCGGGCCTCGTCCCACCCAGTACAGAGGCTCCTGCCCACCCTGTTCCCTCCACCGCCCCCGTTCTCTGGGCCAGAAACACCATCACCGGCCCTCCCCGGGACCTGCCGTCTCCGTGCTCCCAATTCCTCACCCGGCTGCAGGAGCCTGGCGTTCAGGAGGGCACAAAATCCACCCTCAGCTCCTGGGAGGTGCCTCTGTCCTCCTCCACACCACACACTTCCACTTTTCTCAGGGTAATTAGTTAATTAGTGAGGCAAAAGAGGCTCAGGAGTTGAGACAACCTGCTAAAGGAGAGGAGCCGGTGTTATGGGGCTGTACGTTAGAGAGTGGTTATTTTGTGTAGGATAGAGAGAGAATCCTTGGAGTAGGGGCTGGAAGCTTCCAGAGCAGCTCATTGCAAACATATTTAGACTTTCATCAGGGAGCTACGAAATCGGTCCCCTTGGAGACAAGGCAGAGCTGCAGCGGGTCTCTGACCTCCTGGCCGGATGCCCTGGCCATTGCGAGCGGAGATAAACAGTGAGCGGCAGCTCTTTCCTCCCAGCTCTTGTAAGGAAAAGGCTCGTTTCCTCCGCGCTTGTCCCTGGGCTGTCCCCAGCTCCTGCAGGAGAGCCCCGGGAGAGCTGCAGCCTCGCGATGATGGCGTTTTCCAGGGAAGGTGGCCAGAAAGGTGATGTTCTGGAGGTGCTTATTCCTCCACCTCCTTTATCTCCTCTCCACGAGGCAGGCTGGGTTCATGGCTGCAGCCGTTGGCTCTCCCCACCCTTTGTGCCTTTGACAAAGACCGAGGTACAAGGGCTGGACGCCGGCGGAGTTTGTCCCGTCTCACATTTGCCGTCTCTTTGGCTGATAAACCCCGCGATGAAAGGCTGGGGGTATCTCTGCCGGCGGCTGCCACGGGGGGGGACCACGCTGCGTCCCGGGCACTTGTCCCTCCGCGGGGGGGTGCGTTTGCAGCTGTAATTTCCTCTCCTGGGTCTTATCGCCTGAAACAAATCTGCCCAAAGAGACTTGCCAAAACCCATTGGCTTTTCGAGGGGGAGGAAGGAAGCGTGTAATGAAGATTACCTCCGCTCCCAGCTGGCGGCTAGGCTTCGGAGCAACCGGGTCTGTGTGTCTCGGACGCCCTGCGAGCTGAGCCGCCCCGGGCAGGTTTATGATCTGTTATCTCGGAAGCCTTCAAGGCAGTTAGATGAAAATGTCGTAACACTCATTTGGGTGTTAATTGCCTTCCCTGAGATTAATCCAGGTCTAGCTCTAGGAGTTGTCCTGGCTTTGGGGACAACCTGAGAGCTGGCTGCGGTGAATAACAGTATTATCTTTGTTTGCACGGGTGTTTCAGTGCCAAACCCTTTAATTCAACAGCTCCCACTGGGGGCCCATGGTAATTGGGAACCTGCTCTGGTACCTACCGTGCTGGGCTGCGGGAGAGCCCATGCTTTGGGGTCGTCAGACCCATAAAATGGAGATATTGCAGGCCTGTGAAATGGAAATATTGCTGGCAGCAAGTTCCCAGGGAACCGCTCAGCACCCGGCCGGCTACAGGATTTGTTCCGGCAGCCGCTTAGGATTCTCAAGCTGAACTAGTAAATAGAAGTACAAGGGAAACCACACATCTGTGTGTACCTTAGATTAGCTCCTGTGGTTCCCTGACCCGGGTGAGGATTTTGCTGGGACGCCTACGCCATGGCTGGGCTTGGGCAAGTTGGCCCTGGGCTTGGGGAAGCCAGACCTCAGGGTGGTCTGGGCTGGGGTCTCCTGTCCGGGGACCGTCCCTCTCAGCTGCCGGAGGTTCGCTCTGCAGAACGGTGCCTGCTCCCAAAACGCTCCTTCCCACGGGAATGTCAGTGGCTTCCCTCAGGGTGGGCAGGATTCCTGCTCCTGCTCCCACTCCTGCTGCCGGAGACCCTGCAGCCCAGCCGGGGGGTCCCATGGGGCAGCCCCACGAGGGCTGGGGACATCCCTCGGCTGCTCCCACCCCTCTGGGGCTCCCAGCGCCCACCCTGCCCGGGGGGTGCGGAGTGGGATCCCCGCTTCACCCCCTCCCAGGAGACCTTCACTAGGTGGCAGTCTCGGCTCGAGCAAAGGCACCGGCACCAGTCCAGGCTGTACTGGGAGGACTGGTTTCTGACCAGTGTGGGCTGATTGCCCTGCAAGGCCAGACCTCCAGCTATCCCCGCTCCCCCCTCTCCAGGTCACCCCCGCCAGCCCCCAGCGAGTTTGGGTCAGTTTGGGTTGTTTTTTTCCTGGGTCTCTAGGGCTCAGCAGGACAGAGGTGCCGGTGGCCGCGGGTGAGCAGGGCAGGGCCACCATCTCTCAGCTCAGGGGGGCCGAGATGGTGCTCCATCATCAGCTCATCCTTTACTTCAGATCTGGGTGAGAGACTGAAGCTCATATTTTTACTGTAAAATCAGTGCTGTAGGGGGATTTTTGGTTCTTCCCATGGCCTCAGCAGGCCACTGAGGCAACAAAACACTTCCTGTGCCCATATTTCACTGGTTTTGGTGGCGCGAGAGGGGGTTTGTCAGAAAGTGTCCTGAGCTCACCCAGGGGCCGGGGCAGAGCCGGGCACGGGGCAGTGGTAGGGAAGCTGTAGGAAAAGCCAAATGCCATCCTTTCTTGCAGAGCCTGCAGCAGTCGCGCTCCAGCAGCCCCATCGTGATCCTTCGGGATGTGCGGACTGCCCCGAAAGCGTCCCCCGCTGCCAAGCACAAGCCCGAAACCATCCGACTCATCACCAAGGACTTAATCCGTGACCTCGTGTAAGTCTGTGCCCGGGTGGCAGCTCTGAGGAGCTTTCGGGGCCCTGCGTGTCTGTCACAGCACCGTCCCGGTGCTCGGAGCTTCTCGGGCTGTTTGCTGGGACGTCTCTGGGGAGCAGGGATGGGCTCTGATACGCTGGGCTTGGGCAGCTGAGGAGCCGGCGAGCGCTGAGCACTGGGCGTTTTACAGAGGCACTGAATCATCACGAGAAGCAGTGAAAAACAGCATAAACCTTCCGCAGCCAGAAAAGCTGCTCCTTCTGGGCCGAACAGCCCCCCATCGCGCAGCAAACGCTGCTTCCCGTGCCCCGATACCAAAACCCCCCCGTGGGAAAGGCAGCGGAGCATCGCCTGCAGCCCCTGAGCACCGGGAGCCGTGTGTTTCTTGACAGGGATGTTTTATAAGCAAGGCTGAACTGTAAGAACCCTGGCCCTAATTACTACACTCAATAAAAGCCTGAAGCACAGAGACAAGAATAGGGCCATTATCCCAGCCAGCTCCAATTTAGCCTCATTTTGACCTCCCTAAATTTTCCTTGTAGTTGTTCGGCGTGAGGTTCATCTTCGCTTCCTGTTTTGACTCTCTGTGTAATGCCCAAACACCCTGTAAAACGTGACACCCGCCCCATGGACGGTTCGGGTTTGGGTTTTGTGGGAGTAAAAAGGCACAGAGGCACTGGCTCAGGCTTTTGGGGCTGGTTCAGGCTTTTGGGGCTGGCTCCTGGTTTTATACGGTCACGTTCTTATTTGACCCAGCTGCCAAAGCCGAGGCCAATTTGCAGATGTGTCTCACAGCCACAGCTCTGGCTAAAGCCGATGGAAACTGTTTGTGCTGGTTTAATTCCTGAAAATCAGGCCCTAGACATCCCAGGCTGGTCACCCAAACACTGGGACAACTGAAGCAGTGGCCACTGTATTATTACATTTATTAGTGCCGTTGTGACCATTAGCCATTCTTTAAAGCGTCCTGGAATCCGATGCTGTGATGCAGCTCTCGGGCGATCATTATGCAGGTATCTGTTCATATTCACAAGGGTGGATGAAAGGTGACACACAATAATAATGAGTAAATTCTTAGTCCTGAGCATCTTCAAAGTGCTCTATGCATTTGGTTAATATAGGCTCCGACACCACACGCGTCACCATGGTATCTGAGTAATACAAAGAGTAATTAACTCCTTACAACTCCCCTGGAAAACAGCCCTGTATTATTATCCACATTTTTACAAGTGGGGAAATGGGGGCACCGAGAGCTTCAGTGATTTCCTCTAAACCACAGGGTGAATCACCAGCAGAGCCAGTGGCTCGGCAGTGTCCGGCAGGGCCGGGGCGGTGGCCAGAGGAAACCTGCCGGCGCTGGGAGGGGAGAGGGTGCCCCAAGTTTGGGAACTGTGGTGTTTTCTTGTCTCCTGCCAGTGGATTCCCGGGCAGCAGAGCCAAAGCCGTGCTGTGCTGTGTGGATCCGGAGCTGGAGTGGGCTCAGTGTTATTAAACAGAGTGAAAAGGCAGCTTCTGCTCCCCCGAATCTGGGATCCCCCTCTGTGCCTGACCAGGGGTTTTGGTCAGGCACAGAGGAGCAGCCACAGTCAGTCTGGGAAGGGCAGGGATGAGCGGCGTGTCCCACTGGAAAAGGGGTCAGGGCAGTGGTCAGCATTTTCCCAAAGAAGGGCTGGGAAAGTCACGTTGGACTGAAATAACTTTCAGCATTTTTTTAATTGGGGCTGACTGGGCCCCTGCTGAATGTTTTGGGGTTTTCCTGGGCGGCCCCTGGCCGAGCATCCCCCATCCTCCACGGCGATGCTTTCACTGCGATTTCTCCTTCTTCCTCCCCCTGGCCGGGACCCCCCAGCTCTGTGGGCTCTGGGGTGACAGTGGGGCAGGTCCCCTGGCCCCATGGCGGGGTCAGCGCAGCAGGGAACCGGGAGCTGTTGGGGACTCGGTGCCACTGACCACGCTCTCTGTGCCCAGCATCCCCACGGAGAACCCAGCAGCGTCCCTCATCATGGGGCAGGAGGATTTCCAGCGCATTTCAGCAGCAGCCCGAGTCCTGACCAAGGAGGAGCACGAGGCCAAGCGGGCAGCCCTCAAAGCGGAGAAGGAGGCCACTCTCGTAGGCATTTCCCTTGCCCTTCTGTCCCTGCTCTCTGGCCGTTCCCGGGTGTGGGTGGAGGTGGATGGACTCAGGTAGAGCCAACCCTGTGGGTCAGATGCACTAGCCAGGGCTGTCCCCGGAGCTCTTGGGACCACCACCTTCCTCCCTTTCACCCACATTTTGGTGTGCCCAGCATGCACGGATGGCAGCTCGGGCAAGTGTCTCCTCAATCCCCAGCCCAGATCCACAGCAACATCCCTGGGTTTTCCTGGAAAATGGATGGGGAAGGAATTCCACGCTGGTTGCATCCAGCAATCGCACCCTGGTTGTCCCCCCCGGTGACCCCAGAGCTGTGATGAAGTCTCCGTGCTGTGTTTCTGCAACTCTGCCAAGGGAGAGGGGTGTCTGAATGGGGTGTGGGAAGGGGGTACCCAGGGTTGGAGTGCCTGCGGTGCCCCTCGGGCCTCCCTGGGGAGGCCGTGCGACTCTGAGCAGCCCTGCCTGTCCCCACAGGATGCCATAAGCGAGCGCAAGAGAGTGGCCAAGGAGAAGGCTGTCCTGCAGCTGGGGAAGCTGAGCGAGCTGGAGGAGGAGGCACGGGAGCGGGCCCAGAACCTGCTGCAGCGGGCGAACAGGCTGCGCATGGAGCAGGAGGATGAGATCAAGGAGTTCAGCGAGGTAGGGATGGGGGCTCCCGGCATCCCCTGGCATCAGGGGACCGAGCTGCCTGCTCGGACAGGCTGCTGTGAGCTCCCATGAGCTTTGCCAAGCTGCTCTAGGGCTAAACCCTGCTCCACTTGCTGCTTCCTCTCCTTCCCTTTCCCCCCACATCTGTCTGTCTGTCCCTGCTGCCGCTGCCCAGTCTGGCTTGGAGACCAGGGAGACCTGTTGTCCCCACAGCTGATCCTCGGTGCCAAGTGCCACATGATCCGCGACACGCAGATCCTGGAGAAGCAGCTCATCGCAAAAGAGCTGGAGGAAGAAGAGAAGCGCCTGGACACGATGATGGAGGTAGAGTGGAAAAAGGCCGAAGAGATGCAGGAGGATCTGGCGCGCAAGAAGAGGCAGGAGCTCATCAGGTTTGCAAAAGTGTCCTTCTTCCCTGCAGAGGGATCCTTCCTCTTCCCAGGCCTTGTGCTGGAGCTAGGGTAACCCCCGGCTTCTCACTACAGTGGTGACCACAGCTGGACTGGGCAGCACAAGGCAGCATCCCATGTCCGTGCTGGAATTTCTGCTCCTCTGAGTGGGACGGAGCCGGAGGGAATCTTTCCACTCTCTTCCTTCCAGAGGGAGGCAGGAGATCGTGAAGCAGATGGAGCAGAACGCAGAGGAGCGGGCGATGAGAGCTGTGCAGCAGGACCAGGAGGCTCAGGAGATGCTGGCGTACCTGGAGAAGCTGAAGATGGAGGACCTGCAGGTGCGACCAGTGACTTGCCAGGGAGCAAAGGGGGCTGGAGTTAGATTTTCACCCCGTTGGAAGGGTGACCCAGTGCTGGATAAGTCCGACTCGATGTGTGGAGACAATGGCCAGCGGTTGGTGTCTTGGGGAAGTTGAGGCACCCTCAGGGTCACCCAAGCCTTCCCTTGCCCTGAGCATGGTGCTGTCCCCTTGGGGAGGCACACAGGAAGGATTGGGGGGAGCACCCCATGCCGCAGCACTCACCCTGTCACCCTCGGACCCTCTGTGCCATTTTCAGGAGTTAGAGAGGAAACAGGAGCAAAAGAAGAGAATCCAGGCTGAGATTAGACGCGTCAACGACGAGAACCAGAAGGTGAAGGAGGAGCAACAGGAGCAGGAGAGGTTGGCGGATGAGCGGGTGCTCGAGTTCCAGAGGCAGAAGATGGTGAGAGGAGGGTGCCCAGCGCTGGTGTATGGTCCAAAGGCAGCAGCGATGCCACGGGAGCTGCCGTGACGCTCTGTCCCACACAGAAGCGGGAGGCCGAGTTTGAAGCTGAGCAGCAAAGAATCCGTTGGGAGAAGGAGAAGGAGTTGGCACGGATGAGGGCCATGCAGGAGAAGGCCCGGGACCACCAGGCAGAGCAGGTGAGCGGCTGATGGGCTGCGGGATCACTCGCCACCAACCCCATCACCAGCAAAGTGGAAGCTCCCATGGACGTGGTGGGTCTCCCAGGGCGTTGCAGGTCTGGGCCATCACCTGGGACCAGGCGATGTCCTGGGGCAGTGCTGGGAGAGGGGAAAAACCACCGTCAGGCGCTTCCCTGCCTCCCCACTGTGGGAAGTCCTCCGTGGCCCCTCCAGCATCACCCCTGTCCCCCTCCGGCAGGACGCGCTGAGGGCCAAGCGCAACCAGGAGGCTGCTGAGCGGGAATGGCGGCGCAAGGAGAAGGAGGCAGCGCGGAGGAAGGCTGAGATAGAACAGATGATGCGGCAGAGCCGCCTGGAGCAGATCGCCCAACGGGAGCACAGCATGGCTGCGCAGGTGCAGCAGGACCGGCAGGAGTTCGAGAGGATCCTCAGGTGAAGGGGACAGCGCTGGGAGCTCGACGGAGAGATGGATGGGCAATGCCCTGTGAAATGGGACCGGGAGACGGGTGACACGGTGGCAGCAGGCCTGCCATGGTGGCTCTTGGAGCAACCTAGTCTGGTGGGAGGTGTCGCTGCCCAGGGCAGAGAGGGGTTGGAATGAGATGAGGTTTAACCCAAACCATTCTGTGATTCTAAGTTGGCACCCTTGGTGGCCTTGGTGCTGACCAAGGCCCCGCGGGTGGGTTATTGGCACGTGGAGGGGCTGGAGCAGGGCCTTTGACCTGTCCCGTTCTCTCGGCAGGCACCAGCAGGAGCAGATGGAGAAGGAGAAGGCAGAGGCAGCACGGAGGGCCAGTCTGCGGCTCGCCCACGCCAACGACGTCCGTCGCCAGATGCAGGAGCGTCAGCAGCAGCTGGCGCAGGAGCGGGTGGCCGCCTTCGAGGAGTGCCGGCGGCTGGAGGAGGAGGCTCGCCAGCGCAGCCAGCGCATCGCCCAGTTCAAGCAGCAGAAGATGCAGGAGCTCAGGTGATGGGCTGCCAGTGGCCACTTACTTCCCTGGTGCCCTGCGTGTCCCTAAGTCCTTCCTGCCTTCTCCTGGCCCCTGGGCCACCTCACAGGGCCCTTTGCATCCTCATCAAACGGGATCTGCTCTGGGGCCACAGTCCCAAAGCTCAGCTCCGGTGCAGCACGGGGTGGCTGATGATTTCTTTTCCCTGCAGAGCCTCCGGCATCCCCGAGAAGTATTGTGCCCGGGTGGAGCGGAGGGCCCTCAACCGAGCAGGTGCATCCCCTGGCCAGGCTCAGCCACGCGAGGAGCAGAGCTCCAGTTCCCCAGCGACTTAGGGCTTTCTATTTTCTTAGGCTGGGTTTTCTATGAACAGAGATGTTTATGGAGCAGACGGTGTCTTTCATTCTTCTCTGTCTTCGGATTTGTGGGCCATGAGCTGCCCTTGAGGCTGGAGTAGCCCAAAGGCTCATCGATCGACCTGCCCTGCTCCCTGTCCCATCTGCTGGGAGAGAGATGTCAGAGGTGGCCCCTGTCCTCAGAGGGGCCCGGAGTGTCCCCATGGCCTCAGCACAGCTCAGTGTCACCCCCAAAGCTGCTCAGGGCGGGACCGGTGTTCCTACCCAGGCAAAGTGGCCCAGGCAGGGTCTCCAGGAGCCAGGCAGGTTCTTCTCCACACACACAGCCTGGTCCTGGCCACACCAGCCCTGGCAGTGCCACCTTCTCACGGAGGTGTCACCTCCGGGCCCTGCGGCAGTGGCCTTCTTCAGGGGCAAAGCAAAGAGACTGGAGCATGATGCAAACATTTAAAATCCATTTGGATTGGGACTGGCAGCTTCAGAGGGCCAGGATCCCATAGGAGTGGCTCTGATTAATTGTCAGAGCAGCTGAAAAATAAGGAGAGACAGCAAAGGCGCGACTGCCCAGGGCAGGGGACGGCTCGGAGGACTCTGCCGTGAGCCTGGAGCCTCCTCCAGGCTGGGTAAATCGGGAGGACGAAATGCCATGGCCTCTCGTTGTCTCTTCCCCATCTCCTCTCCAGCTGCTGGGTGTCCCTATGTCATGACGGAGCCAGGCACTCTCGGGACAGGGGCTGAGGGGCATCGCTGGTGCTCCAGGCGTCTGCCACCACATCCCCAGGTGACCCCCAGCAGGTCCCTGTGGCCACCAAGCCCTCTGGGACCCCTGGGGACAGCCCAGGAAGCATCTGCAGTGCCCAGCACCAGGCTCGGCTGCCCACACCTCCATCCCCAGTCCCCATCGGCCACACGCCGGCCGTGTCACTCCCGGTCACTGCCTCGGCCGGGCTGTCACAGCCTTGTTCTAGGCCAGGCTCAGCCCGGAGGGTTTCAAAGCCACCACGCTGGCCGTGCCGGGGGGCTGTGACCACCGTCCAGCCGGGGTGGAGCGGCTTCCCCACCCTTCCTGCGTGAGCCGGGCTCCCTGTGACGAGGAATGTGGGAGTCACCGGCCGGGACCCGGCACCGCGCCGGCACCGAGCCCCGAGCCGCGGTGAGCCACGGCCCTGTCACGGCAGGGACGGCCCCGGCAGGCGGCACCCCTGGCCGCATCGGTGCTGCCCCGGGGCCAGGCCATGCACGGGGGCCCCCAAATCACAGACGCGGCCAAGCGTGTGCCGGGCTCGGCCCCAATTCCCAGCACGGGACCGGGAAGGGTTAACCAGCAGCGGTGAGCTCAACTTGGGGCCAGTAAATGGAGCAGCTCTTGGCCCCAGGGAGTGTTTGGTGTTTGGGACTAGCTGGGTGGTGCCGCCGAGCCGGCCAGGGCAGTCACGGGCTGGAAAGCACCAGCACAGCCGAGCTGTGCCGCGGGGCACAGCAGGGGTGAGCCGGGCACGGGGCCTGACCCACAGAACCAGAGCAGCCCATTGTGGGGGATCAGCCAGCCCGGACCCCAAAAGGGACACGGGCAGCTAGAGATGGCTGGGGCTTCTCATGGGTCTGAGCATCCCCAGTGTGGACCCCAACACCTGCTGCCGAGCATCCCTGTCCCCAGTTCATCCCGGGCCAAGCATCCCTGTCCGAGCTCCTGCATCTGCTGCCAAGCATCCCTGTCCCAGCTCCTCCATTCCCCACAGAGCATCCCTGTCCCAACTCCTGCCCTGATTCCAGCAGGTTTTGGCCCCTCTCTTCATCCCCTCCAACTGTCCCACACTTCTGCTGCACCGCTTGCTCCTCTCTGAGGGTGGCCCGGGGCGTGCTGTCCCTACTGCTGCCATCCCACTGTGGCCCCGTGCCGTGAGCCATGGCCCATAGCCCCAGCCAGGCCTCCCCACTGTGTTTCAGTCGCACCACCAGCACCGGCTCGGGCTTGGTGGGTGCCACGGTCCCCACATGGCCGCAGTAGCCCCGTGCCTGCTCGCTGAGGGGGCAGGACTGGAGGAGGGATCTGCAGGAGCTTAAGCCCATGGTCAAACCACACCTTTAAGCTCTTCCAATTGTCCTGAGTGCTACAAGATCAAAATCCTTTTGGGACCTGCATGGTCCCAGCACATTCATGCAGCCATGATGCTCGGGCATGGCTTGGGCTGCTCCTGGGGGTCCCAGGCAGCCTTTTCCCACCAACCACCCTCATCCCACCAGTGCCCACACCAGGGAACCAGCCATGGGACACCATGGGGTCCATGGCCCCCAATCCCTGCTCCAGGTGCCCCAGGGTGTGATGGTGCCCCTCGCCCATGCTGCCTGCAGTGTCCCCCTGCCTGGGTCTGGCTGGATGGGAGCCCATAGCATGGTGATGCTTAATTACCAGGTAGGGAGTGGAGCAGGGCGGCATCGCTCACGCACAGCTTGGAGCCACTCAGTCATCCCAAAGGCATCCGCCCCACAGGGAGGAGCGCCCCGGCCCAGCATGTAAAAGCAGCCCCGCACGGCCGGCTGCCTCGTCGCCTCGGAGCCTCCTCCGCTCCCACTCCTCCTCACCACCCGGCACGGCTGCAGCGTCATGGCAGGGCAGGGCGCCAGCCTGCTCCTGCTCCTGGGTCTCATGCCAGGTAGGCGCTGATGGATTCCTGCTCTTGGACCCGCTCCTCCAGTGATGCTGCCAAGGATGGAGGGGTCCCAGATGCACCCCATGGTCAGCAGAGCAGCCAGGACTGGTCCTGCCCTGACAGCCACCCGAGTCGGATGGAGCTGGGCGGGTGGCACTGAGCCCACCAGATCCCTGTCCCCAGTTCAGCTTTATGGGACCCAACGGGGGCTCAACCCCACTGGGAGACCCAGCCCCTGCCCCGTCCCTGCTCCCTGTGGGTCGGGCACTGCAGGATGTGGGGTCGGGGTGTGTTGGGATGCAGGTTCGAGGTGGCCTCATGCTCCCCAGCCGGTGTGACGGGTGCCGTTCTCTCCCCAGCTCTCCTCCTGGCCGTCAGGATCAACAGCAAGGGCCGGGAGGTGCTGTATCTGGCCAAGGGCGACTCGGTGAAGCTGGGCTGCCCCTACGTCCTCGAGCCTGAAGACAACGGTCCCCAGGGCTTGGGCATCGAGTGGATCCAGATCACACCTGAGCGGACTGGCCCAGAGAATGTGGTGAGTGTCACTTGTCCCGGCATCTGCCATCCCACCGGGCAGGCAGGGCTGGGATGGAGCCCAGCCGAGCAGGCAGGGCAGGCAGGACAAGCAGGGTCTGGCAGAACCAGAGAAAGCTCAGCAGAGCAGGCAGGACAGGCAGGGTCTGGCAGGGCAGGGAAGGACCAAGCAGGGCTGGCAGGGTCTGGGCAGTGCCTGTCCCTCCCCAGCTGGCAGCCCCGGCTCCCCCCACCCGGACCAGCCTTGCCCAGTCTCCCCGCTTGCTCCCCCACCAGTTCCTGTCCTACCATGACCATCACGTCAACTACGGCAGCGGCTCGGGGCTGCAGGACCGGGTGGCCTTCGTGCAGAATGACCCCAGCCAGTACGACGCCTCCATCCGCCTGGCCGACCTGCAGGTCTCCGACACGGGCACCTACCAGTGCCGGGTGAAGAAAAACACCGTGGCCGTGCACGAGGTCATCGTCACTGTGCAAGGTGAGCCCCTTCCCCACAGTCCCTTCCCAGGCACCACGGGTGGCCCCCGGTGGCCTTGGTGGTGACAGTGTCCCTCTCCCCACAGAGAAACCAGCCAACCCACAGTGCTGGACCGAGGGGGAGTTGATAGAGGGAAGCAGCATCCTTCTGCGGTGCTACAGCCGGGGGGGCACCTCCCCGCTCGCCTACCAGTGGGCCAAGTTGGCTGATGGCTACGGCGGGGGACGCCTGCCCTCCGGCACCATCCAAGGTGGGTGCTGGTGGGGCTGCACCCGCGCAGGGGGCAGGAGGTGACACCAGGGGGATGCTCACGGGTGGGGTGTCCCTGTCTGTGAGCGCACGTGGTGGTGGATGCCCACGGCTGCGTGCAGCTGGGTAGGGGGGTGTCCGTGTCCCTGCGCCCGTGTCGGAGGGTCCCGGTGCCAGTGCTGGGGCTGATGGAGCTGTCTCCCCCCACTGCAGGACGTGCTCCTGGCGACCTGTTGATCCGTAGCCTGTCGGAGGTGCACGCCGGTGTCTACCAGTGCCGCGTCACCAACCGCGTGGGCTACTCCGTGTGCCAGCTCAACCTCAGCCCTGCGCCAAGTAAGTGCCACCACTGCGGGGACAGCGAGGGCGAGGTGCTGCCGGGGGCTGCCTCTGCGGGCCAGGGTGCCACCGGGGGCACGGTGACCAGTGGGCAGCCGGCGGGGAGGCCGGCGGTGACAGGCTGTGCTCCCGCCCCAGGAGGAAGGCAGGCGGGCATCATCGTGGGCTCCATCCTGGGCTCCCTCCTGCTCCTCAGCCTGCTCGGGCTCCTCATCTGGGCGCTGATCTGCCGCTACCGCCGGAAGGAGTGCCAGCGGACCTGCAGCGACTGCAGGTGAGAGCCACAGGGCCAGCAGGTGCCACTTGGCACTGATGGGCATCACTGGGCACTACTGGGGTCCAGTGGGCACCAGTGGGCATCACTGGGCACTATGGTGGCTGATGGGCAGCCACAGGCAGCACTGGGGACACCTGGGCACTTCTGGGTGCCACCAGGCAGTGCCGGCCACCACAGGTCATCTATGGATACCAGCAGACAATGATGGGGACTGGTGGGCACCGATGGGCACCACTGGGAAATGCCAGGTCCCGGTGGACCCCGGTGAGCACTGGTGGGTACCATCAGGCACCGACTGGTGCCAGCGGGCGCCGATGGGCACCGAGGGGTGCTGATGAGTGCCACCAGGCACTGGTGGGCAGTGACAGAAACCAGTGGGGTGCCAGTGGGGTGCCAGTGGGCACCGCTGAGCACTGACAGATGCCGCCGGGGCTCCCCCCTCCCACAGGAGCAGCACAGGCGGCACCATGACCCGCGCCTGCAACGTCTGCGCCCACCACAGCTACTCCCCCCACGGCATCAGCTACATGCAGTGCCAGCACGGCGACGGCGACGAGCGGGCGGCCGCCCTCATGTGCAACGAGGGCATCCGGCACCAGGTCGCCTGCCCGGCGCTGTAAACCCCCCCCGCGGCCCCGCGCCCACCCCGATTCGGCTCCACGGGGGGAGCAACCACGAGCCCGGAGCCGGTGGCCCCGCCGGGATCCGGCGCCGAGCGGCGCAGGGCTGAGCTGCCAGGGCTCGCCGGGCAAATTGAAGTCAGGAATCCAGCTCCCTCCTCCCCCGCGAAACAGCCCCGGCTTCCAGCAACCCCCCCGTGGCTTCATCAGTCTGTTTTGTTGGTTTTCTTTATTTTATTTTTTTTTTTTTGGCCCCTTTTTTGTATGTCCCCCCTCCCAGCCACAGCCCGGCTCTCGAGGCGGCTCCCGGCCCCGCTCCCGGAGGCTTCCCTCGCTATTTCACAGATATTTATTACTCTCCAGCCCGTCTGCTCGGCATCGAGCAGGGACGCGGCAGCCCCGAATCGCCCAAACCGGCTGCCCGGCAGCCCCCCGCCTCCGGCCCGGCACCACCGGCGCCCCCACATTGGCTTCAGCAATTGGGTGTTATTCGAGACGAGATGCCATTGGCACCAGGAATTGCAGTTCGGAACAAGAGGGAAAAAAAAAAAAAAAAGAAGAAGAAAAGAAATAAAGTAAAGTGAATTCAGCGCTGTCCTGTCTTGCCTCACCCCCGCCGGGGAGGAGGGGGCTGCCGGGGCCGGTACCGCACTCGGGAAGGTCCCAGGGAGTCGGCAGCACCGAGTCACCGGGGGGGGGGCGG